TCTGGAGCATTACTGGTTGTGTATGAATAGTGTGGATACCCCCTGTGTGACTCCCTGGCTGGAGTAAGTATGGGTGTATGGGGTGACCCCCCTGCCCCATGAATTCCTGTTCAGAACACTTGCGGAAACTTGAGATGGGTCACCAATGGCCTCCTCAGCGGCCAGTGAATGCCTGTGATACTGATCCTCAGAATGCATATTATCATCTTCCTCCCCCCCCCCCAGAGCAGAGCCATGAGCAGAAGGGTGAGAGTCCAGCCGCCACCGCAGCTGGTCTATATGCCGCCGAAAAACGCAGCCGTCCTCCAAAGTCACCTCATAGGACAAAGGTCCAGAGACCTTGCAGACCACAGCTGGTACCCAGAGATGACCCTGCCCGTAGTTCCGAGTCCAGACCGGAGCACCCACTTGCAGACTCCTCGGTGCCCGAGGTTGCAACACCTGAGACGTCACCCAGCCAGGGTGCAGTCTGTCTAACTTAGTGATGAGCCGACGACCCCAGCAAAGTTCAGCAGGGCTCTTCCCTGTGGCTGTGTGGTGCGATGTGCAAGAAGAAAGTCTGCTAACCTGTGATGCCAGTTACCGTAAGTCAGTTTCTTAAGGGCATCCTTGGTGGTGCGCACCATATGCTCAGCCATTCCATTGATGGATGGGTGAAAAGGAGCCGAAGTTGCATGGCGGATTAGGTTGGCCTGAAGAAAAGCCTGGAACTCAGAAGAGGTAAATTGAGGTCCGTTATCTGAAACCAGAACATCTGGAAGGCCATGAGCTGCAAAAATTTCTCTCAAAACCTGGATAATCTTGGCAGTAATAGTGGAGGACACAGGAACAACCTCTAGCCACTTGGAATGGCTATCAACAACAACCAGGAAGAATTGGCCCTGAAAGGGCCCAGCGTAATCTATATGTACCCTAGACCACGGGGTTTGAGTTTCCTCCCACCTGTGAACTGGGGCCTGAGGCATTTCAGGCTGGGACTGTTGGCACACATGGCACCCATGCACCTGGGCCTCGATGGCTTTATCAAGGCCAGGCCACCACAAATGGCTGCGCGCAAGCACTTTTATCCTGACTATCCCAGGGTGTCCCTCATGCAGAGAGATTAAGATTCTAGACCTCAATGAGGCTGGGATTACTACCCTACTATCTCATAACAAGCATCCCTTGAAAGTGGACAACTCATGCCTCTTTTGCCAGAAACTTTGGAACTCAGTATCTGGGAACGTGTCAGGCCATCCTGACAACACCCATGTCAGCACACGTGTAAGCGTGTGATCAGTGGCAGTTTCTGCAGCCACATCCCTAGCATTGAGGGGAGACTCAGGCAGCTCTTGAATGGACAGAATATTAATGGCTGGAGCAGGATCAGGCTCCAAGGTTGGCAGGGGTAATCTACTCAGGCCATCTGCATGACCCATTTCCTTTCCAGGTTTGTGAATCAACGTGTAGTCATATGCTGACAGGAAAATGGACCAACGCAGCATATGAGGAGACAAAATATGTGGAGTTTGTTTGGAAGTGGTAAACAATCCCAACAAGGGCTTGTGGTCAGTGTAGACTGTGAAGTGGCGGCTGTATATGAAATCATAAAACTTCTTAATGCCAGCCCACTAGCCAATGCTTCCCTGTCAATTTGAGCGTAATTACGCTCTGCAGAAGACAGGGTCCTGGAATAGTAGGCCACAGGGACCTGTGTCCCATCAGCCTTCAGATGGCTAAGTACGGCTCCCATCCCATATGGAGATGCATCACAGGTAGCTGCTCATTGAAGTGAGCTAGCACTGCATTGGAAGTATGAAAGGCTTTAACCTCATTGAAACTTTTTTCATGGACTTTAGTCCACTGCCAACAGGCTTGTTTGTCTAAAAGCCTGTGCAAAGGTTCAGCTATTGCAGCTTTATGTGGCAGAAATGCATGGTAAAAGTTTAATAGCCCCAAAAAGGCTTGTAGTTCGCCCTTAGACTTAGGGCTTGGGGCCTGCAGAATGGCTTTCAATTTAATTTCAGAAGGGTGAATGCCTTGAGCATCTATCCTGAATCCCCAAAAGTCAGTAGAATTGACTCCTATCTTACACTTGTCCTTCTTTAACTTAAGGCGTGCTCTTCTAAAACGAAGCAAGACAGCCCTTAATCTCTCTGCCAAGTTTTGAAATGATTCCCCAGCAATGAGAACATCATCAAAATATGGGCAGACTCCAGGAATACCCCTCAGGGTGTTTTCCATAACACTTTGAATATACCAGGGGCTACATTCACCCCAAATTGCAATCTCTTGATTTTAAAGGCCCCTCTGTGGGTTACAATTGTTTGAGCCTTAGCAGCTGCTTCATCAACAGGCAATTGTTGATAGGCTTGTGCCAGGTCAAGCTTCACAAAAATGCGCCCCCCCTTGAGGAAAGCCAGAATGTGGCTTCTGCAGTGCCTTGTTTAGTGTGCACTTGTAGTCTGCACATATACGTATGTCCCCATTAGCCTTTAGAGGCATTACTATGGGGGTTTCCCATGGACTAGAATCTACAGGTTCTAAATGCCCTGCTGGACAATTTGTCCAGTTCAGCATCAGTCTTGCCCTTGAGAGCAAAGGGTACCCTCCTGGGCTTAACCCTGATAGGCGTTATGGCAGGATCTAATCGTAATGAAACTGGAGGCCCCTTGTAGGTTCCAAGCTCAGAGCTAAACACATGCGCAAATTCCTTGCAAACTTCTGCCAGACTCCACATTTGCAAATTGTGCAGCCCTGTAACCTGGATTCCCAGAGCCTCAAACTAATCGAGTCCAATAAGACTCGTGTGTTCACCCCCAACAACCAACACATCTAAGGGACCTTCAAAATCCTTGTACTGTACCTTAAGGGTGGCCTCCCTTTAACACACACCTTAGAATTCTGAAAGTCTGTGTGTATTACATTGGATGGCCTGAGTTTAGCTCGAAGGCCGCTGCTGCTGCAAATTTTCCTAAATGTGTTAAGGGAAATAATGGAGAGGGCGGACCCAGTGTCCAATTCCATGGATAAAGGAACCCTTATAACCTTACTTTAAGGGATAGTTTCTTCTTAAGGGGTTTATGTGTGCCTATCTTTAAAATATTTCTGCGTGTTGCGCAGAAACCCACCCTATTTTAGCTGGGGACCCTGGTACTTTTCAGATGCAATTCTTCTCTAGGTTGTACCTTCTGACGACCCAAACAGACGGATGCAATGTGGCCTTGCTTGCCACATGCTCTGCAAATGGCAGAATGGAACCGGCAGTCAGCTCGTTTGTGTCGTCCTCTGCACCCAAAGCATTGAAGAGCTGTTGGGGCCTTTTCTGTGCGTTCCTTCTGTCTCCTTCCAGCTGCCTGGTGAAGCTTTTCCACCTCCTCTTCAGGATCTTCCTCCGAATCCTCTCGCACGATCTCCTGGTGGACAGTGAGTGTCTCTGGAGAGCTCCTGGTGGGCCGCAGATTGTTTACCGCCCTGCCTGCTGCTTCCTCTGCTGTAATCTCTTACAGAGCATCTTGGAAAGAGACATCTTCTTTAGCGAAGATCTTCTGCTGTAAGTCTCTGTTCCTTAACCCGCATACAAAACAGCGCAGCCTTTCTTCCAAGTCTTTAAACTCGCACGATCTGGCTGCTCGCCTCAAGGCCACAATAAAGTCCTTAGCAGATTCACCTGCCCTCTGGTCCCTTTGTTCAAATGTGCGTCTCCAAGCAATGATGGACAACTTGGGCTGGAAATGTTCTTTCAGGAGTTTCTTTAAATCAGTATATGTTACTGATTCCAGAGAGGCAGGGGCCATCAGATTTTCTGCAATCTCAAAGGCTTCCTGCCCACAGATACATAACAGGGTTGCAGCCTTCAAGCCATCATCTCTGATCTTGTTTACCCTGAAATAATTCTCCACCCTCGCAATGTAGGATTCCCATCTATCCGGTGTGAGACATCGAACTCGGATAAACGGCCGTTCTTCGCCATTCTGACTTTCACTTCACCACTCGCTTCTCTTGGGGAAGGGGTCTTTCAGCCGAACTCACCCTCCAGCGACGCTGTACTGGCAGGCTGGACGTTGACTTTAACGCCGTCTTCCGTCTTCAGGACTTCTTTAGGTGAGCCTTTACAGCTTTCTTCTGTTAAGCTTATAAAGCATCCCACCTTCGTCGCCAGTGTTAAGTCCTCGTAATAATGGCGAATGATGAAGACACATCTTGCCAGGAACACTCTTTATTTCAGTTTCAGCCAAAACTCCAACAACGAGCAAAGGCACACAGGTCTCCTTTTATGCACCCAAATCCCCAGACACAATGGCAACAGAGAACAGGCACTTTTCCCGCCTTGCGCATGCGCGCAAAGCTGGTGCCACTCAGTCTGGTCCTGGGCAGCTTCTGCAAAGCCCGGGACCATTGCAACATCCCGAGCCTGCATTTGCAGGCTCCGGACACAACATGCTTCAAGGTTGCCCCATGTAAGAACAGGTTCAAATGATTTCTCTTTATTGCTTTGTTATGAATCACTCCCTGGTGTGTAGTGAAGGCAGCTAACAAGACACTATATAGCATGATAGTGAAGCAGTTCTCAAACTGAAAACAAAATAGTAAAAACAAAAGTGAGGCAGTTAAATGTATGAATGTTTTTTAAAAAAGGTTCAATTGGAGGTCTGTTTCTTTGTTCTTTTATAACTCAGTCTAGTAATCAAGCAAACAGGACATCACAATAAGTAAGCTCTTTTCTGTTACCATTGATTTAACCTTTGATGGTAGTGACATTCAGAGCAGGGCTTCCAATGTGGACTTAACCATTCCCAGATTTATACAGGAGAAAATTTTGCCATTAATAATGCCTGAATACAAAACTTTATGAGAAGAAGCATCCTGATGACATACAGATGCAGACAGGTTGATTGTTAGGAAAAATTGTAGCATTGTTCAGCACGGTTAAATTATGTTTCTGAGGAGAATTTAGATAAAAGGCACAATGAATAAATCACAGGATGGAAGTCAATAACCTAATTATTTTTACCTTAAGCCTTCTCTTTCAGGATTCTGCCACCAGTCTGGAAAAGGATTGCTTGACAACACCCAGCAGGATGGCATTACTGTGAGTGTTAGTGCTTATTGATTGCTTTCACTGGGTTCTGTTGCAAGACATAAATAAGAACAGTCCTGGTGAAATTGATCACATCGGGTCTTTGCAGCATGTCTGAGTTCAAAATCTTAACTGAATACTTTAAAAGGCCAGGTTGTTTAGAGTACAGCTGAAAGAAAAGAGCTATCAAATATTATCACAAAAGATGCTATTATAGCTATTTGGTTAATACGGAAAATGATCCATTAATGAATATGAGTCAAGCAAATTTAAGAATCATTAAACACGTTCTGTGTTGCAGATGCTTGCCATTTTCTTCAAAGCAGTTTGATATAATGGGTGATGGAGGTGAAACAGAGCAAAGGCAGTGTTTGATATTTCAGTGCTGATGAATTCATCAACATCCTACAGGCAAAATATAGGAAGAGAGAAATAAATTCCATAAAATATTTAGGAATAATAATCCTAACCAGGGATTAGTAGCATATGGCCTCCAGACATTAATTGAATCCCAGTTCCTATAATGATTGCCCATCTAAGTATTGCCAAGTGCAATAACCACATTTATTTTTCTATCTGGAAAAAAAGATTTGTATTAGGTGATACAGTATAAATTCCACTATTAATTATGAAATAGAAGATTCTTTAGAGCTCTAATTGGCCAGGTTGGCTTAGATTGCTAGAAAATATGAGTCGTCATCAACTGAAGAACCATAGAATCTCTATCCTTTAACAACACTGTCAAGCAATGCTCTTCAAAGTTTTAGAAGGAGATCTTTCTTTAGTATTACTTGAAAATGTCTCAGATTGAATCAGAGATTACCTTCAGGCAAAAATGCAAGACTGGAACAAGACTAGCTAATGAAAGACATGTCAAAGGTGCTTGTGCCTTCCCAAATGAAATGAAAATAGCAATGGCCAGGTGAAATGCATCAGCTGAAGAGCATTCAATACAATAAATCCAATAAATTACTAAGGCAGACCTGGGCATTTTACTGCCCCCAGGCCACATCCAGTCCTTTGGCTGTCCCTGTGCAGCCTGCATGAAACTGATTGAAAATCAAATATAAATAAGTATACCCTATGCTTGCAATACAATTGCATTGCTTTTATTTTGAAGATACTATTTTTTCAATTTACATATGTGTCTGTGTGCATGCCTAGGCATTTCACAACAGTCCTAGTTTCTCATGTGGCTCCTTGCGAAAATTAGTTGCCAACTTCCGGTTCCGAATCACGGCACTTGCAGCTGTGCGAAGAGACTGTTCGCCAGCTGATTCTCCGCTGCCGGTAGACCCTTAATCGGGTCGAAAAGCTGCCCTGGAGGGGCGGCTACCATTGAGGAGGTCCTTGTTGTCTGTGGGAGAACGGCAGCTTCTTCCACGGCCCGAGATTGCTCCTTTGGGCCAACAGTGGAAAGACCGGCCAGTAAAATGGCCGTTCACCTTGCCACTGTAACCAGAAGTCAGAAGAACATCTAAGTGCAGGAACCACTGTGGCTGAGCTGGGTGAGACTTTTTTTTCCCTCTCTTGGTTCTCCTTTTTCTTTTGTGCCTGTAAAAAGCACTTTTGAAATTATTTCTCTACTTTAAGAAAGCGGCGTTTGTGAGTGTGGGAAAAGAAGCTTAAATGGACTGAATTAATTTAAAGTGATTTTTTTTCTATTTTTATTTTTTTATTCACTTTGGGGTCTTGGGAAAAAAAAATTAATATTAAATTTATTACTGGACTTAGTCTACATCTGAAGAATTCTCCTTTTTTGTGTGTTTTCTGATCTTGTTAACATTATTCCTGGTGTCTGGGAGGAGATTTTATATTTTACTGAGGACACTGTGTACTGTGGAAAAAGTCAAAATTGCAACTGTTTCTTTTTCTTTTTCTGATGGTGAGATTGACTTTGACCTTCAGATTACCATAAAAGGGAAAAGACAAAGAAACTTAACAGCTGTGTTTGTGGGAGTAGATACTGATTAAATGTTCCTTGAACACAGCCTCTACTAAAAGATACAGACTGTTTCTAATTTTTTTTTTTTTTTATTGAAAATTTTTACATTTTACAAAAACAAATCCCCTTCCCATACCCCCCCCTACCTCACCCCCCCCCCTTCCCAACCTCCCAAACCCTCCCCTGGACTTCCCAGAGCTGAGTACAGGCTTAATTAAAAAAAAAAAAAACTTAAAACACTTTTAAAACCTAAACAAATTTAAATACAATCATCATTCTATATAAGCTCCCTCCAAAAACACAAATTTAAACATTACTTTCTTTGAATATCTATATCTATAGTATAAAATCTAATTTCTCCCTCTTTCTTTATCCTAAAACAAAAAAATAAACATACAAATCTTTGTTATACCATTAAAGCTAAATACTCTTAAAGAACTTAAAGTAAGTACATATTTCCTTCAATCTTCATAATCTTCTCTCCTATCCAAAAAGAAAAAAAAAAAAAACAAAAACTTAAAAAACCTATAAGTCCTAAACAAATCTAAGCACATTTAATTAAACAAATTATTTTGTCTTAAAAATATTAATAATAATATTTAAAAACTAAAAACACTTTTAAATCCTAAACAAATCTAAATACAATCATCACTCTATATAAACTCCCTCCAAAACCACAAATTTTTAAAATTTAAAACATTAGAATCCACTCACTAAAATAAGCAAATTATAATCCCTTCAAAACACAAATTTAAACAATATTATCATTAAAGGTTCAAAACTTAAAACAACAAAGTTAATAAACACATTAAACATTTCAATCTTCACCAATAACTAATTCCATCCGTAAAAAACTACATCCTTATCAATCTCAATTATATTAGTATTATTAATTATTCACATTCCAGTTTTTTCCATTCTCCATTCTTCCATTCTTCCATTTCCCTTCTCCATTCTTGTATCAAACTCGTAAGAAATGCTGCAAGTTCTGCCTTAGGAGACTGCTCCAAAATTCCTGAATCTCCCATCGACTCCGAAGCCAATAAGGGTTCCTTAAATTCCTCCTTGTATTGATCTTTACAATTGTAAGTTGTACAAGTTATCCTCTGCCCGTTCCTCTCTTGTTGATGCCCCTCAGACTGAGATTTCCCAGTTTCCATTTCAGGCAACAATTCCACCCTTAAAGATTGCTCCAAAGACTTTGTAGGTCTAACATCTCCCAGAGATTCAGAAACCACTAAATATGAAACTTCCTTAACCTTCTTCTGTTGCTGCTTTTCTTTGGGATTATATACTGCACAAGTTGTCTTCTGCTCCTCAACCTGGACTTGTTGAGGCCTCTCACACAAAGATTCTCCAGTTTTCATAAATATAGGCTCTTCAAACTGTGATTCTACATTCTTTTCTTCCAAAGCTTTAAACTTAATTGATGGCGATGCACATACCCCCAGGACCGAAGTATAAAAATCTTTTGCTTGAGAAACAGTATTAAGTCTATAACATGTCCCCAGGTAATTCACCACCATTCCAATCGGAACATCCCATCTGAATGAAATTTTTCTCTTTTTAAGTTCATTTGCTAAAAAAGCAAACTCCTTTCTTCTTCTTAAAATTTTAGATGGGATCTCTTTAAAAATTATAACATCTTGTGAAGCAATTTGAAATCTCTTCTTATAATAGGCTTGCACAATTTCATTGCGTAAAGATCTTTTACCAAAGTAAATTACCACATCTCTTGGCAGATTCTTCTGTGCTGCCACCACAGAGTTAACCCTAAATAATTTTTCAATTTCATTAAGTATTCCCTCTTTTTCTTTATTCAAAATCAATGCAAAGTCCTTTGCAACCATCTCCTTCAGATCTCCTTGCAAAGACTCTCCCAGGCCTCTAATTCTTAAGGCATATTCCATTTGTCCATATTGAAGCATAAGAATCTCATTTTCCATTTCTTTTTCCATACTTTCAATTTTCCCCTCCATTATGTCCACTTTTTCAGCTACCTCTTCCACATGGGAGTTCACCTTTTCAAGAACAGAAGCAACACCTTCTAAAGCCAAAACAAAATCTTGTCTCAAGATCTTATTGTTTTCCTCTAAAATCTTTTTCATTTCTGCCCTAATTTGAATTATAACATCTCCCATCATGTCTTGCAAGTCCTTCATAGTTATTAGCTGACCCCCAGAAGAGGGTGAAACTGTTGATTTAGAAACTGTAGAAATCCCTGGACGCTTTGGAGCCATCTTAAAGAAAAACCTTTAGTCCTTCTTAAGAAATTATAAAAATTCCTTCAAAAATCATAACTCCCTCCAAAGAAGGTCATTATAATAAAAAGAAAAAAGGGAAAAAAAGGAAGAGAAAAAGAATTAAAAAAAAGTTTTACTCCTTCTTAAAAATTACAAAAAATTAAACAGAAAAAAAGTCCTTCAAAAAAGGGTCATTACAATAAAAAAAAAGGGAGTTCAAAGGAAAAAAAAAGGGAGAAGAAAAAAAAAAAATAATAATTAAATAGAAAAAGTCCGTTCCAAAAAAAAAATACTTAGAGATACCAAAAACAACCATTCCAATCATAAGGAAACAAAAAGAGAAAGGGAAAGGAAAGAAAGAAAAACACCAAAAAGCCTGCCGGTCAGCATTCTAACTTCCAGAAAAAAAAAACACCGAGGAGTTTGCCGATCGCCATTTTACTTTCCCTTTCAACAAAGAAAAAAAATAAAAAGAGAGAATAAAAATAGAAACAAATCTTAAAACTTAAAATCCAAATAAGTCAAAGAAAGCAAAAACTAAATCCTCTACTCAGCTCTGTCCATTTAAAAAAAAAAAACTCACCAGTTCTCTTTAAGCACGGAGGTGTTTGCGGCGGCTCGTTTTGTCCCTGAGGACAAAAACAGCTGGGAAGCGGAGACAAGTCTGAACTCCGTGGGAGCACTCCTTTCACCCCCCCCAAAAAAAAAACTTGGGGGGTGCGAAAGAGGCTCTACCACTATTCAGACACTCTCTACCCCCCCCCTTTGCCCGGGAGGGGGATTTTGAACCGCTGAACAGCTGATATCTGCTGTTCATAGCGGTTCTTACACTTACCCAGGAGGACGGCTACAAAGTAGCCG